AACTTGGCTTAGGCTTAGCCACGGTTGGAAGATCCGGCATTTCGGAAGGTTCAATGAGTGCGGCACGTGCGTTTTGACTTCCAGCTTTTGGGTAGTTGCCCGTAGGGTTTAGGATAGCGTGCCAGGTATGATAGCAAAGCATCCCTTAAATTTCTCAAGCAGGTGTTGTTGTTCCTCGGTCCGTCTGGCTTCTGCAATGGGTTGGCCGTCGCCGGGGTAGCAGCAGTGGTGGTATGGTCGTCGACACCATCATGCCCTCCACCCAGCAATTCAGCCAACCCAAGGCCGGTGAAGGGTCAAAATCACAAAACAAAAAACTAGGATGGCCCTTGGAACCCTCTGAAAAACATTCCTGGAATATGATCCTCTTAAACCCAACCAGGGAAAAATCAAAAATGTCCCAAGAAAAACTGGGGAGCCGTCAAACCCTGCAGCCGTCCTGCGCTGACAGCTCCTCCACACGGGGCGCCAGCTACACTGCGGCTTCGGCAGCAAGCTGGCCTAGGGCTGTGATGGAGGGGCTCATGGCCTCACCAGCTTGAATTCTAGGATGTAGACTTGGCTACACTCAGAAGGGTAGCTAAAAATTAACATTTTAGCTGCCTTATTAAGAAACCCAACAAATCCAAAAAGGCTAAGGATCTAAAGTTACAGTAAAGTACCACAAAGTAGATACCACAAACCTTACTGTAAGCTAGAAGAACACATGGCACGGTCCTGAGCATGTACAACGGCTGACCACCTGACCAACGTAGCACGCCCAAACCCAAGAATGTTCCGGAATAAAAGAACGTGGCCACGCGCCGTGTTTGTCAGATGTTGCGAAGACCACATTCTTCGGTGCAAGTAGGATGAAGGCTCCTGGTTTCCCTTCTGGGCCACCCACGCATCGTCTCTGCATCTTGGTCGGCTTACGCTGCTCTTGGCGCCCTGGTAGAGCAAGGAGCTGGACTGCCATGTGCATGAAAACATCTTATTGCGCACCACGTCGCATCTGAATGTGGCTTCTCTTGAGCAGGCAGATTTTTTCTCGCATTTGCAGCAACGCCTGAACAGAGTTCGCGCAAGAACTTGCTGTGACCCACAGCCTCTCTGAGGACTCAGTGAACTTGGCCAGACGGTTGATGGCAACCACCACATTGCCTGCATCATTGGGGCTTGGGCTTGTAAAGACACGGGCCTCAGAGTGAACATTATGCTCCATTACCCGACTCGCTTGTTGTTTGTTCTCCTTTCGGTCCTTTCGCATCCAGCGATGCGGAACCAAGTAACATGCTTTTAAGGATTCAGACCGTGTCCTGCGAACTGCGATCCCGAAACCTCCGGGAGGCCAAGAACTCCTCATAAGACCACCGAAAGCCGGGGTCTTCTAACTTGGGGTCATCGCATCCTATCCCACGTTAGCGGGGAGGGTATGTGTCCTCCAAGGCCACAACTACAAACCCTGAGCCCGGTCAACGCTGAACCCTCAGACCCGGACACCTGACACTCTGACGGGCACTCATGCCAATTCTCTGTTCTGTAGTGAACTTGGAAGCCCAGCCAAAAATTAGAAATTCAGCTGCTTTCTTGAGAATTCTAACGCCCCAAAATTAGTCAATTATCCCCAAGTACCCGAAGCCAGGAATTACAGCACCCCAAAAAACTAGAAACTCTCCCCAAGTGTCTCTAAGCTCTTAGGTCTTAAGAATTAGGGTTTAGGGTTTAGGGTTTTAAAGGGGAAACTATCCCCAAGTATCCCTAAGCCCTAAACCCTAAACCCTAAGCCCTAAACCCTAAACCCTAAGCCCTGAACCCTAAACCCTAAACCCTAAACCCTAAACCCCAAGCTGTGTGTCTTCTCTGACAGCCTGGCTCCAGGCCAGCCCGGAGGAGCGCGGCAATGCCGCGCGGCGCCGAGGCAAGGAGCTGCCTCCGCTCGGTTCTAGAAGGGCTTAATCGGGTTTAGGGTTTAGGGTTTAGGGTTTAGGGTTTACTACGTATTAATATAGTTTAATCTGGTTTAATATGGTTTCATATGGTTTGATATGGTCTATAGGGGCCTGAATAATTGGAATAGGGTTTTGGGGGTCATTATGGTATAATTACAAAGGGAGGCTAAGGGAATGCTATCAGTAATTATTCCGGCCCCTATATTAGAAAATTTTGACTTGGAAGGCCCTAAAAGAGGGCTTCCATGGTTTGTGGTGGCTTGGGGCTTGGGCTTTTGACGGTTTTAGGGGGCGTTGCAGAACACATGCTCCCAACTGCCTTCAGTCAGGGCTCCTAGCGTGTAGGCGTGCGCAGACAAGCTGTAGGGATGAGAATATGCGCCACGCTGATGCCTGCCTCCTGAGCACCGATGTTTGCTGTGCAGGTTCAGCGACGTTTCTGTCTGGGGGGGGGGGGGGGGGGGGGTTGTCTGTTCAGAAGGCATGGAACTTGGCGTGGTTTCGCTGGGGTTGTTTCATGTTCTTTCTGAGGACCTAGTCGACTTCAGCGCGGACCCTTGATTCTTGTAGGATTCTGGATTCGGAGGGTCACCCAGGTCCACCTTGACTCTTTTCGCTTGCAGCTAACGCGTGTAGACGACACCACACGGAGTACGCAACTATAGACCTGAAAGCTGCAGCTATAGGGACCGACAGGACCGCCACAAACTCATCACCCAGGTAGCCTCGCAACCCTAAGCCCTAAGCCCAGAGCCCTAAGCCCTAAACCCTCAACCCTAAGCCCTAAGGCCTAAGCCCTAAGGCCTAAGGCCCTAACCCCTAACCCTCGGCCAATGGCCTATGCAGCGCAGCGTCGCCAGCGGCCAGGGCTCGCAGTGGACGACTACGCGGGTCCATGGGATAAGGCGTAAGGCTTAGCAGGTTCTCAAGGTATGGGGTTTAGGATTTAGGGTTCAGGGTGTGGGGTTTAGGGTTTAGGGTCGAGGGTTTAGGGTTGTTGCTAGATAGATAGATAGATGGATAGATATGTGAAGAATGGCTCTGAAAGCCGGATTGGTCGAGGTCAGGGTTTTGGATTCAGCGTTCTGAGGCACATGGGGGTTGATGTGGCCGATTTGTAGGTTCTGGCTAGGTGGAGACCCTAAATTCCTACACACTGGACGCAAAGACCGCGGGCCGCAAAGCCTGGGGCATCGGCATTTGCGACATGGAGAGTTCTAAGACCCTTAGCTGCATCAGCCTACTGAGGAGGTTAGGTTGTGGAGATTGGCCGCCCCCGGCCACGACCATGCAGTTTCTAACAGGTCTGGGACTGAGGTAGTAAGAGGTTCAAGGTTTGGCTGAGCAATGCAAGTCATCCGTGTGCGAATGTCGAAGTAGTGATCTGGGTGTTGGGTGTTTCCATACCCGGTGAGGTTTTTCGATCTGGCAAGGGGCTTCTCATGGCGCTTCTCAGAAGCGAATGCTTTTTGCACTGGCATAAGTTTTCTGCTTTGTGGCCTAGGGCTTGAGATTTAAGGTTCGGTGACCAGTTCGGTGATTAACAAGAAGCTTTGTGGGTAGCGCTTCTTTTCTGTTGCAGTGCTGCTCTGGGCAACCCCAGGATTCTCAGAAGCCGGCCCAGGCAAACTTCTCCTCAGGTCAACTCTAGGCTGCCCACAGCAGCTTGTATGTACAGTGCCAGCTGAACCCACCACCCTCGGCAAGGCACGCAGACTCCCGACATTCTCAATCCTAGATCAAAGAGTGTCGGTTGAAAACTTGGACCATAAACCCTAAACCCTTAACCCTAAACCCTTAACCCTAAACCCTGAACCCTAAACTCTAAACCCTCAACGCTAAACGCTAAACCCTAAATCCTAAACTCTAAACCCCAAATCCCCTAAACCCTAAACCCTAAGCTTAGGCTCAACAAGGTAGAAGCCGTCCTGACGTCCCACCCTTAGCTTTGACTGTACCTGTAAACGAAGGACACCGCAGAACGACCTCCAAACCCCGGAAACGAAAACCCAACAGCTTGTGATTTAAGGTTGTGATATTTTGTGATGCATGGTTGGTGTAGTGTTGCTGTCGCCTACCTTGGCTTGGCTGCCACACCTGTCACCCCAAACGAAGCGAAACCGCCGTCGCAACTCTTCACAAGAGCATGAGACGAAAACTGCCGTACAAAGTGCTTGCTAGTTGTGAGTGTTTAGGACGTCAGGGGTACTCTACAAATTCATGCTTGCTCCGGGATGGGGTCCGGAGTCCACGCGCAAGTCTGCATCACAGACTGAACTCACCCTGCTCTGTCTTTGAGTCCTTGAGCGGTGGGCTCACGTGGCTGGAGTCGGTTTTCGACCTTCCTGGCCATCGTAGGCCAAAATGGATGTTGCCCATCCTGGGATGCCACAAACATGCTTAGGGCTTGTGTTCGCAAACGATGACCCATAGATATACGGACATCGATGGCCCAAGGGGCCTCGGCAAAAAAAGGAGCCTGATGTCTCCTCATGCCTTCTCCTGCCCTCAAAGTTCTGCGGCTTGCTGATCGTGACCACTGGCTGCACTGGCTACGAAAAGGGTGATCATCTGGCTTCCTGGAGCGCCCTGCAGTGGGCAGTTGTTTTGCTGACAAGGAAGGTTAAGTCATGGTCGCGGCAGCCGTGGCATCCCGGACAGGGGCGGGGTCAATTGGCAACACGAGCGATATCGGGCCCCGAGCAACATCAACCCCTTAACTTCAAACCTGCCTCTGCTGGGGCCTTTTGGATCAGGGTGAGCAGCCTATGCCATGCTCTCAAAGGGAGCGGCATGCGGTAGGATAAAATTCACTTGTGAGGCGATCTTGTTCTAGATATCTGATCGATCCTGCCCAAGCTGTGAACCTGAGACCCAAGTTCATTGCACTACTGTCTCTATCTATATCTATATTACATACTTATATATATATATATGTGTAAAAAACGTAGAGGCGCCCTGGTACTGATGATCGAAACTGAAGTCGTAAAGCGCAACGGCCCTAACCACACAACTAACGGCCCCCGAGGGCCCAGAGGGCCGATCTGGTTGAGAAGGGCGACGTTGGAGTCAACCTCGGGCGCTTAGAGATTCAAGAGGGGCTAAGACCCCATACCCCTAAACCCGAAACCCTAAACCCTAAAAGAAAGGGGACAATGAAAGCAAATCAACAAAACATAACGGTTATGAACGTGTAAATCTTTACTTGGAGCGCACTTTGAGCCTCAGGGCAACTTGTCCACCTACCACGTTGCTCTCCAGGACACAAGTCGCTCCTCCAAAAACCGTGTTCATAAAGTTCTGACCCAAACCCTAAACCCTAAACCCTAAACCCATGCACCCTACAACGAAGCTGGGTCCCCCTTCTGATGTGCATCTCCTCCTCACATTCATTCATCTCCATGTCCTGTGCACAGGGTCAGGGTTTAGGGTTTAGGGTTTAGGGTTTAGGGTTTAGGGTTTAGGGTTTAGGGTTTAGGGTTTAGGGTTTAGGGTTTAGGGTTTAGGGTTTAGAGTTTAGGGTCTAGGGTTTAGGGTTTAGGGTTTAAGTTTACGGTTTAGGGTTCAGGGTTTAGGGTTTCGGGTTTAGGGTTTAGCGTGTCAGGTGACTTCGGGGTTCGGCCGCTGACAAATCACAAAGTCGGCTGCAAGAAGGTCTCAATGTGGAAGATCTCATGTAAAGGTGAATCCATACGATCTGCGAACTCAAAGCAGCCATGAAGCATCCCAAGCCCCCAGAACTCCAAAACAACCCCCAAGCCCCAGCACCCTCACGGCAGAAACCTTAGGATCTCACCCTAAGTGCCCACAACAGCGCCTCCACTTCCACGGTGGGTCGCATCTCACGATCCTGCACCCAAAGTGCTGGGGCTCTCTGAGACTCAGGTTTTTAAAGCTTTGGCCGAAGAGACCTCCAAAACCAAAAACCTAACCGATCTCCCATGTCCCGAACGACATAATATCGTGACATCACAAGCCCTGAGCCCGAAAGACATCAACCCTAGAACAAGAACGCCTTAAGCTCTTTAGCACCTGAGGTCTGGAGACGTCCTCTAGAGCTTCACAGAAGATATATTATCGAAGCAGCAGTTGGTCAGAACTACCTGCGCTTAGGATGCGATCTCGTAGTCACATGCTTGCATGTCCCCCGCCCGTATGCTCCACGACCCCTCAAGATGGATGGGCAAGCTCTTGGCTTAACCTCACATTGTACCCATACATGCCTTTGTTTACGAAGCCCTAAATATCTGAAGGAGCTGTAAAGTGTTCCCAACCCTTTCTCAACCTCGAAACCTGAACCCCAATTCAAAGAAATCCTGTTTGGCCACCCTTCGCCCTCAAACTCCAGAAACCTTTGGGCTGCTTCAGGTGCACGGACTGCTTCCTACACAATCTCCAGCCCTAGATGTGTTTGGCGCCCATCCCGAAAGCACGAAACACCATGGCGCCCTCGTCTTAAAGTCGAGGGGCCTGTGACCGGGGTGCCTCACTACGCTCCCAGTCCCAAAACCCCCAAAGCACGAAAGCGCACAAGCCCCCGAGGCGCCTCGTCCTCTAACTCTAAATCCCTCTCGGGTATCAGGACCTGAGCGGTTGGAAGCCGCTTTAGGTTTTGGCCTGGGGGTGTACGTGTCCTGGAATTGTGGTTGGGCTCCCCCTCGCATTCCGATGTCTCAACAAGCCTGACCATGCTTTGTATTCCCACAACATTGGGTTGCCGGGTGCAGGCGGTGAGTTTCGGGCCTGAGTTTCGGCTGGGGTCTGGGTGCGGTCGGCTACATGCTGATCTTTGGTCTCGCGCCTGCACCTGCCCACCTTCTGAAACCCCTGAATCTGAACATCTAAAGCCCGGGCCTGAATCTGAACTGAGGAGGGAGACACATGGGGACTGGCTAGCCGGCTGAGCCCCCTGACCACACCTGAGATCCGAAACTCCGCACCGGAACTGCTACCCCCCCCGTAGGACCTCAATAAAAATCATATTCTCAATATCCTCTTGGGTTTTATATAAAAAAACATAAAATAAGTCCCAAGGGGGATATAGTCACACAATAACACGGTGTACCTCGATGTCCGCACCGGTCCAGCCGGCTTCTTGCGTTATCTCCTGGCAATTAACCAACAAGCTTCAACTGGAAACTCCATGCCTCGCACACTAACTTGTGGTACCGTTCATCTCTTCTGATGTATACCTACAACCTACATCTAATTGTAGTGGAGAATTTCTCTGGTGACGTCACAGACAGATACAAGGCTTGAAGTTCAAGCTCAAATTTCAACATCAGTTTGACAAGTCCGAAACCACCTGTGCCAGTGTCTGTGCCTCGGGGAATGTTTGCATCCCAAAACTTCACCAACCTTCTCCGTGACCCCGAAATCCAGCCACCAGAAGCGCCAAGGCTTGGACAGGCTTGGGGCTTACCCCTTTTGAGGAGAATTTGCAACTTTCAAGATCTTCACATGTTTTGCCATAAACGGGGCATAACGCCCAGTGTCGGATTTAGATTTCCGACCTGCCACCCAAACCTGTCCATTCCCTGAAGCTTCTCAGCCTCGTAGCCCTCTGTGAGGAGCGACTGCAGAGCGCCGTGGAAGGTCTGCTGCTCCTTGGACTAGGAAAAACTCAAGAAACTGGGACAGTGGGCGTGAACTTGCGACAAAGACTGCAGGGCTTGTGGCATAGAGCATATGACTAGTCAGGACTAGTCAAGATCTTAGCCCAAACCCTTAAACTCTCGAAAATTTCTAGGAACTGACCACTCAGCATAAATTCTGATCTTTGGTCGAACCCAACCCAGCACTTTGGCTGAAGGAAGTAGCGACTCTTCATTGCCAGGGCGGTGGTATCCTTGGCCACGACAGTGTCCAAGCCGAACTGGGCCAAAGTTTCCTGCTTGGGCCACACATCTCGGGATGCTTGTGTTGGGCTTGTTAGGGTTTAGGGTTTAGGGCTTAGGGCTTAGGGTTTAGGGTTTAGGGTTTAGGGTTTAGGGTTTAGGGTTTCGGGTTTCGGGTTTCGGGTTTCCTGTGTCCATACTGATGAGCCTCTGCGAGCCCTTTCAAATTTAAGCTATACTCCGTAAGTAAGGGGTATTGGGCTCTCTGGGATCCTGATGCCGGCCTCCAGCGTCTTTGCGCCAGTGCCCGCACTTCGCTTCGCAGCATCCACTACCTGCTGAATGGCAGCTACATGCTCCCACTGGGCCCTAAACCCTAAACCCTAAACCCTAAACCCTAAACCCTAAACCCTAAACCCTAAACCCTAAACCCTAAACCCTAAACCCTAAACCCTAAACCCTAAACCCTAAGCTGCCGAGGTTGGGACTTGGGGATCTTGAACTTCGGCCTGATGAATGTCTCGTTGCAAGAAGGTACAGCTCCATGCGGGTCTGTGCCATACTTGGGTTTAGGGTTTAGGGTTTAGGGTTTAGGGTTTAGGGTTTAGGGTTTAGGGTTTAGGGTTTAGGGTTTAGGGTTTAGGGTTTAGGGTTTAGGGTTTAGGGTTTAGGGTGTTACTCTCTCTTCCCCCAACCGCTCGACAGAACCGCACAGCGGTCTTGCTGCAAGGGACAGCTCGGATCACCTATAGGGGGGTTGAAGAAAATAAGGGGCCCCTAGAATAGTGGATTCCCTTAGAACCCCAAGAAGGTGCCCTCTAATTTCGGAGGCGGAGACTGTGGGAAGCAAAAGCATGGCATGGTCCCCTGCTGTGCTTTGTGCTTGTTAAACCTGAAACATCGTATGCCAGAATGAGCCCCGGGACCCTTGGCCCATCCGCCTTGGAGTCGTCACCGCCCTGGTAAGCACGCCCTCCAAGACCTTAAGCTCGGAATTGCAAAGGTAAGTCAGAGAAACAGAAGTCCAAGCTTAAACACGGATTGAAGGCGGAGTCTCGCAAGTGCAGGCACTCGGCGGGAGAGGAAATCATCGTGTGGTGGACGAGAGCAGCTCTTGATAACAAGCGTAAGCCGTACCGTCTAAGAGTCGAGAATGCAACAAAAGGACGCCTCATTGCCAGACACTCTTGGCAATTAACTTAACAACTTGCTCCAGCGTTGTGGATCGGGCTACTGTGCTCAAGCGCCGGGCCTGTCCAGTACAGAAAAGCACGCCACACCTGGCAACGAAACCACTATCATCTACTCAATATGAAACACCGGAGTCCCTAAACCCTAAACCCTAAACCCCAAACCCTAAAACCTAAACCCTAAACCCTAAACCCTATCTGTTTCGAAAGGTCGGCACCTCCAATCGGCATGATTTCCGAAAGACATTGAATTGACAACGGCAGCTCCATTGGTTACGCTGAGTGACCCACGGCACTAACTGAACTTGGAACCCTAGCAAAAACTATTTCTTTTGCTGTTTCTTAGGAGTTAAAGTACCCAAGAGTTAAAAATCATGTCCAAGTATCCCTAAGCTTCTGCAAGCGCTTCAACTTCTGTCTGAAGGAGACCCTGTCTTGCACAGCTCGCTGCTGAGCAACTATGCTGCTGCCGGTTGCGCAGCTGCCACTGCTGCTGCCATCATGATGATGATAATGATGATGATGATGATGATGATGATATATGATGATGATGATGATGATGATGATGATGATGATGATGATATATGATATATGATGATGATGATGATGATGATGATGATGATGAGGATGATGATGATGATGGCGATGATGATGATGATGATGAGGATGAGGATGAGGATGAGGATGAGGATGAGGATGGTGATGGTGATGATGATGGCGATGATGATGATGATGATGATGATGGTGACGATGATGATTTTGATGATGAGGACGACGACGAAAATCATGCGGAAAAGCCTGACCTGTCTGTCCTGCACCTGCACGTAGCTTCCAGTTATCCAAAACAGATCGGCCATGCAAACGCCCTGCCGCCCGAAACCAGGCTGAACCGAATTCACCGGATGGGCCCAGCCCCAAACCCTAAACCCCGAACCCTAAACCACCCTAAACCATCCTAAACCGCCCAACCATCCTAAACCACCGTAAACCACCCTAAACCCTAAACGTGTCGGCCCCGCGTAACAGCGCTCCAACAGTCGCTGGAGCTCTGCACAGCGCCTGCCGGGCATCGGGCGAATCTACGGTTTAGGGTTTAGGGTTTAGGGTTTAGGGCTTAGGGTTTAGGGTTTAGGGTTTAGGGTTTAGGGTTTAGGGTTTAGGGTTTAGGGTTTAGGGTTTAGGGTTTAGGGTTTAGGGTTTAGGGTTTAGGGTGCGTGGCAATAGCAGTGACAACGCAAGCGAAAATGAATAGGGTTTAGGGTTTAGGGTTTACATGGGGTTGAAATAGCCTACGGACTCACTCAGTAAAGAAGAATTCACTAAACTCAAACACCTACTATAGGGGTCGGAGTAATTACAAATAATCCTCCATAATGGTTCCTACATAATTAGTGTAATAACCCCCGAAACCCTATTCTAATTATTAAGGCCCCTATATTACATGCTGACGGCAGCCAAGTGGCCACAATGGTGCGAGCTGATCTTGCCTCTTTCCGCTCCAGAACACTCGCTCCCAAAGTCCTCGAGCCCCTAAACCCTAAACCCTAAACCCTAAACCCTAAACCCTAAACCCTAAATCCTAAACCCTAAACCTAAACCCTAAACCCTAAACCCTAAACCCTAAACTTGCAACACCCTGAGTCTGGTGGCCAACACCCCCTTGATTTGACAGCGCAGGACGTCAACGTGTGCGACAGCGTCACCGTCAGTGACTGTTGGATCTGTTGTATACGAAGCTACATACATGGATCTGCTCTTCTACTGGCTATGCACATTCCCGCTTTCATCAAAGTTCTAGTATGAAACTTACACAAAAAAACCTTAAGCCTTATGAAAGCCGCCGGGGCAGAAAGGAAAGCAACGCAAGCCCGCGGAAGCCCCATTCTCGGTTGCTTCCGCCTTTGTTTCGGGCGCGCCTCGGCACCTGCACAGCCCAGGGGGTGTCTTAAACCCTAAACCCTAAACCCTAAACCCTAAACCCTAAACCCTAAACCCTAAACCCTAAACCCTAAACCCTAAACCCGGGTGTCCTTACCTCGAAAAAATGCCTGGAGCATCCTGAAACCCCAGTCCGGGGTTGGACGTGGGATCTTCAGGTGGATTTGGGGATTGTCGGCTCTGAAATGAGAACTCACCATGCCCTGGCTGCAATCAAGCGAACGTCACTGACACTTCTCAAAGTGGGTCTACAGCTGACTTCGCATCTACTCCGAGGCCTCCCTTTTACAGACTTTCAGGCATCGGCTCTCGACACACGCAGGGTAGAATCTGATACTGGTCAAGGGCAAAGGGGCCTAGAGAGCCCAATACCCCTTAGTTAAGGAATATAGCTGAAATTATGCAGGGATCCTCATTATGATTTAAGGAATATTCCTTAACTAGGGGGTATTGGGCTCTTTGGGGGCTTCTTTGTCTTGTGAAAAAACCGGAGGAAGCCCCAATCCGACCCAGCAAATCCTTTGAAAGCTTGCATGCTCAGCCTTCCACTTTGGCCACCCGGCGCTTCTCTGAGTTCTGGCCGCGGTCAGTGAGAGCAGTTGCAGGGTTTGAACGGTCGGAGCGAATGTGGTGAGAAGATGTTGTTGGGCGAACTACAATCCCTTACTTGACCGTTGCTTTTGTTGTCGCGCAAAGGCACTTCGTGAACATCAAAGTCATAGGTACAACCAGAAGTCATCATCTCGGAACCCGAAAACATGACGGATCCCATGGGGTCCGTATATCTCGTCAGCCCTGCAAGAGCTCATTCACACACTTTCTTGAGCAACTTGAGAGTCAGCAGGCTGCTGGCCCATGATGTCAAGCCCTGCAGCACAAGAACCCCCTGTGGTCGACCGGAGATGTCGGCCTTCCGGTTGCACAGCGCGTGCAAGCACCTGCTCGATCGGGGGGGGGGGGGGGGGGGGGGGGGGGGGGGGGGGGGGGGGGGGGGGGGGGTTGTTGTCGCTTCGCTCCTTTCCGGGCTGTGCTCGAACACCGAAATTATGTCTGGTGTGGGGTGTTAAAAAATTTCTTGTATCCCCAAAAGGACGCCCAATATATATATATATATATATCGATATATATATATATATGGTGTTGCGCCCCGGCGGGCTCCCCCTCCCCCCCCGTGGGGTGGTTATGGGTGGGTTTTAGGGTTTAGGGTTTTAGGGTTTTAGGGTTTTAGGGTTTTAGGGTTTTAGGGTTTTAGGGTTTTAGGGTTTTAGGGTTTTAGGGTTTTAGGGTTTTAGGGTTTTGGGGTTTTGGGGTTTTGGGGTTTTAGGGTTTTAGGGTTTTAGGGTGTTAGGGTGTTAGGGTTTTCGGGTTTTAGGGCTTTACGGGTTTACGGTTTTGCGCTAGGTTTTAGGGTTTAGGGCTTAGGGCTTAGGGTTTAGGGGAGACCGTAGACCTTGGGGGGGGGGGGATATCTAGGGGGGCCGAGAACGCACAGCGCACAACCATATATACACTCACCAACTTTTAGAAAGGGACCTTACATACACTCACCAAACACAGTAGTAGTATATGAAGTAGGGTTCTTATTTCTTGTACCCCCAAAAGGACACCAAATATATACACTCACCAATAATAAAAGGAACCTTATATGCACTCACCAAAAAGAGTACTTACTTCTCCAATAACCAAGGGGAAAAAAAGGTTAAACTTTGATGTTCCTACTAAATAAGGAAACCCAAAAAGTTTAAAGTTCAACTAAAGGCGAAGTAACAGTAATATATACCCTGTTTCAATGTGGTTTTGCAGCACTTCGAGGCGCTTTGGCCAGGCTGAGCTTCGGCCAGGATTTGACAGGCCAAAAGGGTTTAGGGTTTAGGGTTTAGGGTTTAGGATTTAGGGTTTAGGGTTTAGGGTTTAGGGTTTAGGGTGAGAACAGTCACAGCAGAGGACCAGAGCCGACGCTACAGCATGTCTTTGAGTCAACGCAGACCCACCAAAAGCCCAGACCATGAATTCAACAGAAGCCAGGTTCACGACCCCTAAACCCTAAACCCTAAACCCTAAACCCGAAACCCTAAACCCTAAACCCCAACAGTTCCCAAACACTTGGCGAAGTAGAGCCCCACAGGGAGCAGAAGCGCAACACTGCACCGACGTGCAGGGGCCTCTTAGCCAACAATATTCCAACTCCAGACCTAGACCCTAAACCCTAAACCCTAAACCCTAAACCCTAAACCCTAAACCCTAAACCCTAAACCCTAAACCTCCCTTAAGGACCCTATCAGCCTGAAGACGAGCCGGCACAGGGCCAGGACCCAGCCAAAGGCGAGGAAGGCCAAGGTTCCCTGTGCGGATCAGCAGGGATCTCCTTTTTTTCGTATTAGTATTCTTAGTAGTATCAGTAAGAGTATTAGTATTCGTATTAGTATTAGTATTGGTATGAGTATGAGTATTCGTATTCATATTAGTATTAGCATTATTCTTCATATCAGTATTAGTACTAGCATTAGTATTAGTATTAGTATTCGTATTCGTATTAGTTTTTGTACTAGTATTAGTATTAGTATTAGTATGAGTATGAGTATTAGTATTAGTATTAGAAATAGAATTCGTATTCGTATTAGTATTAGTACTCGCACTAGTATTAGTATCAGTATGCCTCTCGGGCAGATGTGTCATAGTACGAGCTCCCGTAGGACACCTCAACGCCTCTTTGACTTCAGGTCGCGGTTCTAGACTGAAGTTGAGGGCTTGTTGTGTATTTTAGGGTTTAGGGTTTAGGGTTTAGGGAGGTCTGGGGACGGCGATGCAAATCGTTCTGAGAGCTCCTGACTCAGCTGAACAGCTCAAAGAATCCGACACCACCTTAAACCCTAAACCCTAAACCCTAAACTCCAGAGTCTCCTTGAAATCGCTCTGCTAAGACTTCTGTGCCCTCAACAAATCCAGCCATCACCTGCACGGCGATGCTCCGCTGGCGCAGCCTCCGTTTCTGCTCGCAACCTGGGGGTCATGCCATAACGTACCAATCCCTCTCACGGGGGCTTATGAGATACTCTTCATGATTACCCCAATAATACCACTGATTATAGAATTGTAACTCCCAATCACAGTAAAAAAAGTAATAATATAAATACCCATCCCTCTCAGACTTTGCAGACTCGTCAGGATCAACCGACAGTGACACCTACAAGCTCAGTCCAATGGCCCTGGCTAAAGAAACCCCCAACCTCCCTTGAGCCTTGCAGCCAGAAATTGAAATCACAAGAGGATTCTCGGAGTTGCATGAATTTCTTTTTGATAAGTTTTATCGAAGCCGTTGCTGCTTGACTGCCTAAAGTCACAAAGCAACCGCCCCAAATTATCCGCGTGAAAAGTCCAAGTGGCGCAGAGCCGGCCGCAACATCGCCCGTCCACAACTGCGACGGGGCTTGGCTTTAGCCACTTTAGCCCCTTTCGGGGACATGGAGCGTTTGTGGGGTTTGGTGGAGAGTATGGGGGTTCGTTGAAAAGGAAGGCCCTTGAGCTCTCAACTTATCAAGGGAGGCCCACACCCAAAAAGAGCAGACAACAAACTTCCGAGTGGGGTGTAGTGCTTAAGTCCAAGGCAGGTTCAAGCGTATTGGGGGCTGAAAGAACATGGGTGTTGAATTCAAGGACTCAAGGCTTCGACAATTTTGCATGCATTTGGAAAATGGAGGTCTTGTCACTGCGCAGACAACGCCTCTTTTGTCCAAGCAGGCTAAAAAAGTGGAGTCACATCATCCAGCATGGTCGCTGGGGTTTGGGAAAGCGGGCAGCAACAGCATTTGGTGGAGTTGAAGATCTGCACATCGGGCAGCAACAGCGTTCCAGAAAAACAACATGGTCGAAAGAAACATGCCCAATCTTCTTCAGACACGTCCTATTCCATGCGGAATGATCCGCTGCGCGACATCAGCATGCTAGGCCTGGGGCGGCAGCTTGCTTTGCACCATTTTCCCAAACAGCTTTAAAAGAAGCACACTCCCAACTTGGAGGAAGCCCGATAGCCGGTGAGGAAAAGCATCATTCCAATCGCTGCATAGGAAGAGCTATAAATACAGAAGCTGATCCACAGTTTCGATAAGCTTGCATAGTTCTCGGCGGCAAAATCCGTCGGACAGCACATGACCCATGACGAAAGCCAATTCTAAGAAACCTTCAAAGCATAACAACATGTTGTCCGTCCTGCGCAACATCCTGCAAGTCCCATAGCCCCAATGTCACAATGCAATAGGGTTTAGGGTTTAGGGTCTAACCGGCCAACCGGCATTTCGACATGTGGGCTTCCAGCAATTTGGTCTATGGTGCGTCCTTGGGACGCGAAGGAAGCCGCGGGCGTACTGAGCTTCATGACTCCAAGTGCTCTAGACGCTGAGCCCCACGATTGCGATGGTTTCAAATTTCAAAACCCTAAACCCTAAACCCTAAACCCTAAACCCTCAAGATTGAGAATAGCACTTGGATCCAAAACATGAGACTAACATTGCTTTAGCAAAGCATGCACGCTCATACAGAATTACGTCCAGCAACAAGACGGCCCTACAAGCCCGCTCCTGGCATTTCATCTATTGCTCGCGCGCCTTTGTGAACTTAAGACAAACAGCGTGTATGCAGCTTGCTGTTTTGAACTATGACTCAATTTCATAGGATTGTAGGTACCTCACGAACCACAAGAACAAGACTCATAACGTCTTAGTTGCCAAAGAAATCCAAATCCGGAGTTCCCAGTCCCGTAGACATGCTCGTGATGGTGCGGTTGCTTGGCTGCTGCGGCTGGACCGGTCCCTAAACCGTCTAGCAGCTAGCAACTCAAGACATGAAGACTCAACCCAGCTCGGGCCAAAACCCACCACCACAACAACCAGGAGAGTTCATTTGGACCCTGGATGTGCGCTACGCCTAGACCAGTCGCATGCCAGGATAGCACCTGCCCGGCACACAGCGAAGCCAGTTACCAGTGGTCACCAGGCCCTCTTACATTCCCAACGTGTTTGAGAAGTGATGAAAACCGGTGACATGTCCGTGCAGAAGCTTGAGAACGCCCGAGGTGTCAACATGAGGCTTACCCCTTTGAGGCAGGCCTGTGGAATCATCTGTTGGCTTACTAAAATTGTTGCAAGTAGCGAACTTGATTCTGCAGCTTTGCGTGCATGGACACATTACGAAATGGACGAGGAATTATGTTAGACTTTAATCTATGTTTTGTACATATTGTGGTCTAGGATTTCCTGGTCAAATACAGAGGTTTTCCGACTATTAAAAACGCAGAGGAAATAGAGGTCCCCTCTGAAAATGCACAGGAAATAGCAGGCCCCATGCAAATACAGAGGAAACAGCGGTTTTCTTCTTCCGAAGTAACCCATTTAATATTCTGTTGTGGCTTTCTTATTCTGAAGTAACCCATTTAACATCTTGTTGTCACAAACAGGTTCTGAACTTCGCAGCCAATGATGTATACTGCGCTGTTGCAGCGGCTTTGCCGCGGACACCTGACAAGAGCGCGAACCCGAAGCAGGGTTTATTGTGGGGTTTAGGGTATAGGGTTTAGGGTTTAGGGTTTAGGGTATAGGGTTTAGGGTTTAGGGTTTAGGGTTTAGGGTATAGGGTTTAGCGATCCCCAGGACCGTCACGTGAGGTGCTTCTGCGCATTGACCTGCACATAGGCACTGCAGTGGCAAGATCGAAAGTTCTATAGGGGTCGGAAGAATGACTAATAGTATTCCCTTATGGTCCCTTGGTCAATATACTATAATAACCGCCAAAACGCTATTCTAACTATTCAGGCCCTATGTGGTTGTCAAAATTATGATCCCTTTTGGGGTACCCTAAACATTAGGTGCCGTATTATAATAGGGATCCAAAAAGGGAACCTAATTTTGACAACCACCCACATGTTGTCGTGCATGCACAGAGCCTGTTGATAGTGCTTGCAATCGCCACTTCGAGGTGTCTTCTGTTTACAACCAAGTTCGTGTAGACGTGGTTTCCCTTCTGAACCTCCGTAAGCAGCTGCTTCACTTGACATCTGGAGCTGGTTTTTGTGCCCTGTGGAGGCAAGGTACTGCCTACGAGTATCCCTCTTCACACCAAGCAGTCGCATGGCCACCAGATTATAGCGACTAGCCTTGCAGGATTTGCGCTGTGGGTATCAGGGGTGTCCCCCGGAACCTCAAATGGATTTTGTGTGAAGCAAACAGATCATGGCTAGAGCTTTACACAGGCACGGAACATCAATGTAAGGCAGCTGCAAAAAAAGTACATAAGATCCGAAATCATGCATTGAAGGCATATACATGACGGCCAAAAAAAAACTCTGCAACTTATGAAGCCTGCACACGCTTGCGAAGGCAAACCTGGACCCCTTAAGGCCCTCGATGTGGCATCATGTTGGACAGCCTTGAGCAGGCTGAGCTCATCGCTGTACACCTTCGGCGACTGCGTCCTGCATAGAGCTGTGGTATGCTTTTGCAACGTTGAGAAAGCCCATAGAAGGGGCTTCTGGGATTGTAAGTCTCGCACTATCCGTGGACCCTCAAACCCCCGCAGGCACCGTGAACAAACGTCCTTTTACTAACCTTCACCCGCGGTAAAGTGTGTGTTTCTCGTGCTCTTCATCTTCAATATTTTCATACCAGAGGCTCATATGGGTATTTGCATTGCTGGGGTTCTGCCCTGGTGCGTGGAGGTGTTCTGTAGCACTGGGGTCCGAAACGCCAAAATGGCACAAACAGAAATGCGCATCTGGGACTCCCGTGTCTTCGTTTGTTCCAGTTTTTGAAGAACGGCTGCACTTGGGTCCGGCAGTGCATCCTTTTCGTTGTTCTCTCTGCCCGGCTGCGGACTCCAGCCTTTTATTCCGCCATGTTTTCTTTCACTGTGTTTCCCTGCGCTTCCTTTGCTGCTTCCTTTGCTGCACTCCCGACAGTGCCGACAGCTTGCAGGTCACCGCTGACAGCGCTCAAACAGGCAGGAAAAGTCCTTGACCAGAAGCCCTAAAACAAACACGCAGGAAGAGCCCTCGACCCCAAACCCTAAACCCTATATAAACCCTAAAACCCTAAACCCTAAACTCTGAATTCTCAAGCAGGTAGGCAAGCCCTTGACCCTAACACCCTAAACCCTAAGCAGCAAGCCAGCATCCCTGACAACTCAAAACCTTGACTCTAAACCCATAACCTAAAAGCCTTGTAAATTTTGAGATTCATGATTTTCCTCTGTCCCCGATTCCAGTTAGCATGGTGATTTTCAGTAGTTTTCGGTGCTTTTCTATTTTCGGAATACAAGATTCTGGGGCCAACAAAGCCCCCTTTGAACGTCGTTCAGGTGCGCGTGTCACATCAAGGGTGCCCAAACTGATGGGGCACGTTCACGTGCAAAAGTCTGACACCGTGAAGTTCGGGTTGAGGATGTGAGTTGATCGATTGAGCTTGAGCAAGAATCCTTCGGCGCTGAGATTCTCCATGATTTGGTGGCGGAGTTTGCGTTTCTTCGGCCCGGCTTGGCTTGCCCTGGTTCCCGTGCTCTTGACCCGAGGTCTGCGGTGGCGTCGCTGCGCGCAGATGGTTTAGACCTCTAGGCTGTCTTCAGGAACGCCTAGTCCCACAGAGTCCCTAAACCCTAAACCCTAAACCCTAAACCCTAAACCCTAAACCCTAAACCCTAAACCCTAAACCCTAAACCCTATCTCCCGCCCTAAGGCCGATGCCGCTGGAATCTAAAGCCCTCAACGCAAGGCTCCAGTCTTCGACACATTAAACACCGAAGCCGGTTGCGTCACTACCTGCATGGGCGATTATTACCCTAAAACCCCCTTAAATAGGGCCCTTTATAGGGTTTATGGGCTATTATTACCCTATAACCCCTTAAAAAGGCCCTTTAGAGGGTTATATGGGCTATTATACCCTCTAACCCCTTAAAACGGCCCTTTACAGGGTTGGTTTGGGGGGGATTATAGGGCCTAATAACCCCTTAAAAAGGGCCCTTTATAGGGTTTAGGGGCTATTAGACCCTACAAACCCCTTAAAAAGTCCCTTTAGAGGGTTATGGGCTGTTATACCCTATAACCCCTTAAACAAGCCTTTGTAGGGTTGGTTTGGGGGGGATTAAAGGGTCTTTATAGCGTTATGGGCTATTATACCCTATAACCCCTTCAACAGGCCCTTTGTAGGGTCATGGGCTATTATACCCTATCACCCCTTAAACAGGCCCTTTACAGGGTTATGGGCTGTTCTACCCTATAACCCCTTAAAACGTTTACAGGGTTGGTTTGGGGGGATTAGAGCCTAATAGCCCCTTAAAAAGGCCCTTTATAGGGTTCTGGGCTGTTATACCCTATACCCCCTTAAACAGGCCCTTTGTAGGGTTGGTTTGGGGGATTAAAGG